GAATTAACCCTTTTATCACTATATAATGTCCATTTTTATCTCTTCTAACAGATTTTGTCTTAAAGTCTACTTTGATAGTGAAATTGCCACCCCAGCTCTCTTTTGGTTAGTATTTGTGTGGGATATTTTTCCATCCTCTCACTTTTAACCTGTTTGTGTCCTTGGGTCTAAAGTCATCAGCTGCTAACCAAAATGTCAGTGGTTCAAACCCACCAGTGGCTCCGCAGGAGACAGATGTGGTAGTCTGCTTCTGTAAAGATTTACAGCCTTGAAAACCCTATGGGATCGCTGTGAGTTGGAATTGACTCAATGGCTGTGGGTTTTTTGGGTTTGAAATAATAATAATGTTTTGATGCACATTGCAAAGTAGCGCCCATTTGTTATTATGGACTATTGTATGTACCTCGACTTTTTAATATAATAGGATTTACAGGAGTTGGTCCGTAACTACAGGTTGTATGTAAGTCAGACATTTGTAACCTGGGAACTGCTTCCATATCATTCCATTGCCTTCTAGACTCCAATGTTTCTGTGGAGACAACCACATTTAATCTTATTAGAGATACTTTATATGTGACTATTGGCTTCTTTCTCACTGCTTTCAGGATTCTCTCTTTATCCTTACTTTTTCAGAGCCAGCTATGATGTGTCTCATTGTAGCTCTCTTTGAGTTTATCATGCTTGGGGTTCTTTGAGATTCTTGGATTTGCAGGTTCATGTCCTTCGTCAGATTGGGGTAATCGTCTGTCATTATTTCTTCATATATTCTTTCTGTTTCTCTCCCTCACCTCCTTCTGGAATCCCTATGATGTGTATACTAGGTCTCTTGTTGTTATCCCATAATTCCATTAAACTGTGCTCAGCCTTCTTGAGCCTTTGTTCTTGTTGCACTTCAGTCTCTGTAATTTTGACTATATTATCCTCTAATTCACTGATTCTTTCTTTTGCCTGATTAAATCTGTTGTTAAATCCTTCAGTCGTGTTTCTCATTTCAGTTATTATCCCCTTCAGTTGCAATATTTCTATTTGGTTTCTTTTTATCTCATTTTTAGGTCTTCATTTTGTTCTTGCATTGTTTTCCTTATTTCTTTTAGATCTTTGTCTGCGTTTTCCCTTAACTCTTCAATTAAGTTTAACGTTGTTGTATTATATTCTTCCTTTTTTTTTTTTAATTTGGTCTTCCACAGATGCACTTTCACTCCCTTCATTATGTTTATTTGGATGAGCCATTGTTTCTCGTTGTGTGTCTTGTGATTTTTTTGTTGGGGCATTGGAATTTTCGAGGTTGTTAACTTTCTTAGTTCTCCTCAGTATTTGATGTTTTTGCCAACACTACTTTCTACACAAAATTTTTAGGCAGGCAGAGCCTTCAGCCTTTGCTTACCGTTTCCTCCCCCTCTGTGATAGCTCCTTCTCTCTCCCTGGTTTAATTAGGATTCAGAAGTTCCATATTTCAGTTTTCAAATTTCCATGTCTCCCAAACACACCAGAGAACATGCTGTGGTCAGTCTGTCCTCTAGCGGGTGCCACCATTCAGGCAAGATATTGCACTCTAATAAGTCTATCCATTAGGGGGCATGGTCTTCTCTCTCTGGTTATTACTCCCTTCCCTTCTCTGTTTCTGCAACCACGTTTTCAGTCTGAAAACCCACAACCATCGCGTCCCCTTTAGGGCTAGATATTGCCCTCCAGTTTTGTCCAAGCCTTCCTTCCCTTCTCTGTGGGGGCTGCTTATATCTGAGTTGGCATTCAGGGGAAACATAGGCCAACTTTCCTCCCTTTCTGGAGGAGGAGGAGCTGGCACTCCCCAGATGGACCTCCGAGAGAGCTGTCTTGTTGTTTTCAGAGCCCCAGTAGCCCTGTGGTGGTTGGCTGAACAGTCTCCATTTAGGTGACCCACCTGTTGGCTCCACTGCAGGGGATCTTCTGTAGGAGTTCTTATCAATCCAGCAGCGAACAGTTACTGGGTAGGAATGGGACTGGCACACTTCATACTGACCCCAGGGAGGTCTGCCTTGTTGCTATCAGAGCCCCCTCCTCCCCTCACTAGTATGTTGGCTGTGGATGTAGACTCCATTCAGGATGACTGTTTCCTAACACACAGCTGCCTCAGTCATCAGTCCTTAGCACCGATGGAAAGGGGGGTAGACAGACCCAAACAGACACCCAGGGAGGTCTGTCTTGTTGGTTTCAGAGGCCTGAACTATGGGGTATGCAGGGAGGCAGATAGAGTGCTGACGATGGAAGCAGACTCCATTGCAGGGGCCTTCTGTAGCAAATCACAGTAGCCTTGCAGCTGACAGTGTCCAGGTGGGTGAGGTGCTGGCATGCTCCAACTGGACCCCCAGGGAGGTCTGCCCTGCCTTGTTGATTTTAGAGCAAAAACTTGGGGTCCTATCTCTTTGTGCAGGCAGAGGGTGTGGTGGTTAGGGAAGCAGGCTCTTTTGCTGGGGTTGCTTCTCCAGTTCACAGTAACTGGTGGCCTGTGTGACTGGGGGGATGGTCAGGGACAGTGGGAGAAGTGATTTTCCCACCATATGTGACTCATTGTTGATTTGTTGATTCTTGCCTGTCTGCAATTCTCCGCTGCTGTCCTCTACTCACTCCCCAGTTCAGAGTCCCTCAAGGCCAATCACCGTTTCCTTGTATTTCTTGTGGTGTTTGTGGGACGGGGTCGTAACGATGGTCTGTTTATGCCGTCACATTCCCAGAATCCTCCGTAGGGTTTTCAATAGCTGATTTTTCAGAAGTAGATCACTAGACCTTTCTTCCGAGTTGCCTCTGGGTGGATTAAAACCTCCAACCTTTTGGTTAGCAGCTGAGCATGTTAACCATTTGTACCACCCAGTGACACTATATATACATATAGTGTAGTTCTATTTATGTTTAACACACATAAACACACATTTCAGTATATCTGTAGATAAAACCCATTGCTGTCGATTTGATTCTGACTCGTAGCAACCCTATAGGAGAGAGTAGAACTGCCCCATGAGGTTTTCAAGGAGCGACTGGTGGATTTGAACTGCCAGCCTTTTGGTTAGCAGCCATAGCTCTGAACCACTGCGCCACCAGGGCTCCATAGATAGGTAGGTAGGTAGATAGATGGATACCTGGAAGATATGTACTAAGCTGATAACAGTGATTACTTCTGGAGAGGAGACTAGAATTTTGGCAGAGGTCAGACATCAGGGGGACCTGGCCTTTATACATGTTACAGTGAAACCTATGAGAGCTAGAACTCAGCGGGACTGCCTTGTTTTTTTGGGTCCCACAAGTTTTCCTCCTTTGACAGGGTGAAGTCCTACCACTTTTCTAACACTCGTTTTGATGGAAAACATTTCAGTTTTCCTTCTCTGATAGGCTTCTGCCTTACACAAGTTTCAGCTTTTGCAAGTTTTACTGTGTCTGGCGTATTGTTTACAAGATATATTCCTGTGTTGATGTCACAGGACCAGGCATCATTGTGTTCTTAGTTATATATAAGGTTGCCATGAGTCGGAGTTAACTTGACAGCAGCTAACTATCTGTCTGTCTATCTATCTATCCGTGTGTTAATTGTATAAATAAAAATAAGCATAAGGTGTATACACACAAATGTTATTGAACAGTTTAAATGTGCAGTGTAACTATAAAAGCAATGAGATTGATTTTTACTGGTTATACTAAAGTAGCTTGTACATTGGTTGGAAAACAGCTCTGTGGATCCTAGTGGTCCAGTCCCCAGCTGATCATAGGGATGGTGCAGGACCAGGCAGCTGTTAGTTCTGTTGTGCTTAGGGTTGCCGTGAATCAGGGTCGACTTGATGGCATGTAACAACAACAAAGTACCTCTGCTTCTTTATGTCAGTCCAATACTTGTCTAGGGCTTGCATATAATCTTTTTGGCTGCCAACCAATCATTCAACCAGTTTCCTTTTACCTTTTTTCATCTATAAGAATAGTAAGAAATCTGTTCATTGGATTTTCCCTGTCTTGGATACAACCAAACTTCATTTCCTAGAATTCTGTTTAATGAAATGCATGCAGAAATGCAATTGCTGTTGAATAGATAGTTTTGAATGTTCTAAATATAATATTTGTGCAGCTCTTTACAGTTTACTTATTTTATCTTATTCAATCTTTCCAACAACCTAGTGAGTTAAGTATTATTGTTAATTGTTCACATAGATAAAGAAACTGTTTGGGGGTCTCTGAGACCACCCCTAGTTTCGATGATTTGATAGGAGGATTCCCAGGAGTCAGCATATTGTCATACTCACAGCTAGGATTTACTACAGCGCAAAGATACAAAGCAAAATCAGCGAAGGGAAAAGGTACATGGAACAAAGTCCGGAGGAAACTAGGTGCAAGCTTCCAAGAGTTCTATCCTGCTGGAGTCACACAGGAAGCACTTAATTCCGCCAGCAACAAATTGTGACAACACGTATAAAATGTTGTCTACCAGGGAAGCTTTCCAGAGCTGAGGAGCCCAGGGTTTTTACCAGGGGTCAGTCATACAGACACCCTCTACCTACACATACCAAAATACCAGATGCCCAGAAGGAAAGATGTTTAGGATAAATAATTTTGTTTGCACAGTTTAGGCACAGTAAGTCACTCTTACCAGTTAGGGAATGGTGGAAACCCTACCAAAATGTAAGCTCCCAGACATGAGCCAAGGGCCAATGTTGCAAGCAGACCTTTCTAAGGAGAGCAGTCTCAGGCCTGCTATGTTAACTCTTTTCTGCACAGAAATTAAAGCTTAAAGAGATGAAATGACTTTCCCTAAGATATTTAGCTGGTAAATGGTGGGGTCAAGATTCAAGCCCAGGCCTTTTGATTCTAAGTCCATACTTTTTCCACTACCTAACTTTAATCTCCATCAAATCAAGAACAAATGTTTTTAGTGTACGACTGAAGTGGTAAAATTCAGTGTATAATCCCTTGAGACATGGAATATTGAAGCAATTTTCTTCCTTGCCTTGTAATTCTTTCTCTCTGACCTATAACCTTCCTAGGATAACATAAAAAGTCTAGAATTGGAAGTCATCAATCTTCAAAAGGAAAAGGAAGAATTGGTACTTGAACTTCAGACAGCAAAGAAGGATGTCAATCAAGCCAAGTAAGAATGAAGTCAATAAATATTATTTCAAGTCCCTATTAATGTGTGAGGAGCTACAGAGGCAACAGAGAAGTAGAGATCCATTTCCTGCCCCCAAGATATTTAAACCTACTTGTGGAGAAGAGACATAAACACAAGAAAAGTTAAGTAATTGAGATTTTAAGTAACATCTCAGGATGACAGTAGAAGAAATGCTGTAACAGCACATGATTAATAGCCAAATAAATTTCTTAGGCAGCAATTGCCTTAAGAGCAGGCTGACATGATCAAGGAAGGCTTTATAAAAAGTTAGCATTTGAGCTGAGTTTTGAAAGAGTATCAGACCTACCGGACAGCAACAGTTTCCTTGTCCTTTCACTGATGGTAAATTAGCTTGTGAATAGACTAACTATCCAGGGTAGTGATTGGGAAATAAATCTAGCCATCCCTTAGTTAAGAATAAAACTAAGACAGACAACCAGAACATCCTACTCTGCCTAAGACCTCTGTCTTCTTTTTACTCAGTGACTCCATTATATCTCTCTGTTGAGTCTGAAGCTCATTTCTTAAAAGTTATATTGCATATTTAATTTCCATCTCAGACTTGTGTAATAATTATCAGAATTATTTCTTACAGCTAAAGTGAAGTGAAATGCCTTCAAAAAACCAACTTTTGACATAGGAGTGGTGGTGTGGGGTGTGTATTGAGGCAGTTGGCTTGTTACATACTCAAAAATCTTCTTGTTTTATTCTTTGTATTAAGCTCCCATTTTTGAGACAATTTTTGTTGTTTGGGTGGTATCTGGTCACCTATTTTATATATGTCAGAGTTGCGAACTGGGAGTCTAGTATTATATCAGGCTTTGCACTTGGGAGCCTGCACTCCTGCAGCATCTGTGTTTAGGTTGAGTGAGCGTCGCCGCAAACGTCTCCAGGAGCTGGAGGGTCAAATAGCTGATCTGAAGAAGAAACTGAGTGAACAGTCCAAACTTCTGAAGCTGAAGGAATCCACAGAGCATACTGTCTCTAAACTGAACCAGGAGATACGGGTAATAAACTGTCATCTTTGCATTTACCTCATTGGAAATTATAAACATAGGTGTTCCACTTAGAATTATACTGCAGAGGTGTTTTCAAGTGAGGAAAAAATAGGCAGGGCCATCATTTCAAGTGTGTGAGTCTCCACAAATGTCTGTTTTGCAGGACATTCTGCTGATATGACAGAATCTAAATAACAAAACCCTGCTTTGACATTCAGTTTAATGTTAGACTCTCTGAAACCAAAGGACAAAGACATCTCAGTATTTACTGGTGATATCCTGACCACCTTACATGATAATGTAAAATAATTTCTTAAGATAGTAGCAAGGTGACAGACCCCTAAAAAAAAAGAAGTAATTTTTCAGTTATTGAATGTTCAACTTCTGGCATTTGCAAAGTGTTGGTTACAGGCCGCTTGTACTGAGACCCCTAGAATACAATAGTTGCTAGGTAGATTTGTCATTGGGGCTTAGTGCATACTTCCTAACATCTTGCCCCTTGAAATTTCATTTATATATAATGAATTTAGGGCTAGATTTAGCTTATATGTATATTTTTTCTTTTATTTATTCAGAGTGTTCATTTGTGTAGTCTATACTTTGAAACTCTCTGTAAGGCAAGCATGGCAAGGGGTATTGGATGCCTAATCATAAAATCTGTTGGTGGCCTTCTCAGCTTAGCTCTGGGTTTTTTCTCCTCTTCATGGTAAGTCTGTCCATCTTCATACCAGCCTAGAATAAAGAACAGATGACTAACATGTACTGATTTTGTTTTTTACAGGTGATGAAAAACCAGCGAGTGCAGTTAATGCGTCAGATGAAAGAGGATGCTGAGAAGTTTAGACAGTGGAAGCAACAAAAAGACAAAGAAGTAATCCAGTTAAAAGAACGTGTAAGTATCGAAAACTCCTCAAAGGCCTAGGTAATAAACCCTTCTCTGGGCTGACTAACAACATTAAAGCTTCTCTTCAAACAACTGGTCTCCAAAAGATATATTCATGAATTTAACAGCTGTTTATTAAATGTTTACTATGTGCAAGGTAGGAGCCCTGGTGGTGCAGTGGTAAGAGTTCAGCTGCTAACCAAAAGGTTGGCCGTTCAAATCAACCAGCCGATCCTTGGAAACCCTGTAGGGCAGTTCTACTCTGTCCTATAAGGTTGCTATGAGTCGGAATCGACTCGAGAAAAGCAGGTTTGGTTTTGGGTTTATGTGCAAGGTACTATCAGCTAGGTATCATGGGAAATAGAAAATGTGTAGTATATGAGCTCTGCCCTTGAAAAATGTCTTGCCTAAAGGGGAAGGTAAGCCGTGAGCACAGATTTCCCCACTACAATGAATAAAAAGATTTGGGGTTTAAGAATGGTATAAAATACCTAAGTAATTAAGAGAAAGGAATGCACAATTTCAGTTAGAGTGAAAAGATGATAGCTGAACAGCACCTGAATAATAGGGGGGATTTTGATAGAGATAAATATAGGTATTCCAGACAGAAGAAACACCAGGAGCAAAGACACAGAGACCACAACTTTCTAGGCATGTTCAAGGAACGGCAAATGGTCCAGGTAGAACGAAGGATAGTAGAAGATTCAGTTCGAAAGGCAAGTTGAAGCTAGATTGTTAAAGGTCCAAGAAGTTTGAACTTTATTTTGTTACAAGCATAAAATTTTTAAGTTTTTGAGAAATGAAGTGATATCAGCAAAATACTCGTTAAGGAAGATACATCTGGGAGCAATGTGTAAAACAACTTGAAGTATAGAGAAACCGGAGGCCAGACATCAAATTAAGAAGATACTGTGTAATCCAGAAAAGTAGTAAAGGCCTGAATTAGCATGGGTAATGGTTTTCCAGGAAAGCACACTGAAAAGAACATTGATTTGAGAAAATGGTACAAGAATCAGCCAGAACGTGATGTGTTGGGGCAAGAAGACAGGAAAGGAAAAGCGCTTTTCTGGATGATGGCATGAGGAGCTTCTTGGACCCTCTTCCCAGTGATAAAAGGAGTCCTGGTGGTGTAGTGGTTAAGCACTCATCTGCTAACTGAAAGTTCAGCAATTTGAACCCACCAGCCACTCTGCAAGAGAAAGATGTGGAGGTCTGCTTCCGTAAAAAGCTTTATAGCCTTGGAAAACCTATTAGGGCAGTTCTTCTCTGTCCTATAGGGTCACTATGAGTCAGAATTGACTCGACGGCAGTAGGTTTGGTTTTTGGTTTGGTTCTCCCCAGCAAAACAACCACAAGTCGTGAACTTTATAAAAACAACTATTAATGTCTCTGGCCAAAAAAATAATGTCTCTGTAAATGGAAAACAACAAGTGTTGGTGAGGTTGTGGAGAAACTCATCAATTGCTGGTGGGAATGTAAAATGGTACAGCCACCTTGGAAAATTGTGGCGGTTCCTCAAAAAGTTGAACATAGAATTACCCTATGACCCAGCAATCCCAGTCCTAGGCATATACTTAGAGAAGATGGTCTCACTTATATGAAATAAGTGAATATATAGAAACCAAAGATTACTAATGGTTAACAAGGGTGGGAGGGAGGGGGAAAGGAGGAGTTTTTGTTTTGGGGGGCATTGAGTTTATGTTCATGGTGGTGGAATATTTTGGGAAAGCAGCCATAATGGAAACCCTGGTGGCACAGCAGTTAAGAGCTACAGCTGCTAACCAAAAGGTCGGCAGTTCGAATCCACCATGCGCTCCTTGGAAACCCTATGGGGCAGTTCTACTCTGTCCTGTAGGGTCACCATGAGTCAGAATCGACTCGATGGGAATGGGTTTGTTTTTTTTTTTGTTGTTGTTGTTATAGCCGTAATGGTGGCCCAACATAAAAATATAATCAATGTCATTGAATTGTAAATGTGGAAGTTGTGTTGGCAAATGTTTTGATGTGTATAATTTCACCACAATTTTAAAAAAGTAAAGTATCTGGAAATTTTCCTAAAGGCATATAGCAAATGGAGAAACATTTATTCAAGAAAATCTACTAAATCTTGGTAAGAATAGCAAGAGTCTGTGGCATTTGAGCTACGACCTGCTCCCACCCCTCATCCCCTACCAGCTCAGTATGATCTCTGAGTGGCTGAAGCCAAGAACATTCCCTCACCCCCTTGCTCTAAGTCTATTTCTACACTTTCTTCCAAGTATAGGCAGCTACCAGGATGTTTCATTCCCTACAGCTCCCTGTTGCTGAAGCTCTATTTTAGGCAAGAGCAGCCAGGAGGTCTAGGGATCTCTTCTTTCACCCAGCCCCCACAAGTAGGGTAGAAGCTCCACCCCCTGGAAGAAGGCCAGGAATACTAGGGCCCTAATTGCCCTATCAAGACTAATCACAGGATGGAGGTTCCATGTCAGAACAGGCAAACCAAGAAGAACAGGATATATTGCCCCTGCCCAGCACCCTGCTTGTAGAACAAGTGTCACTCTGGGAAAAGCTGGCTGCTGTCCCCACCCTCAGGTCCAAGCATTGGTGCAGAGGTTCTGCCCAGGGGAAGAAGCAGGCCATAGGAACATAGTTCTCCCTAAGGAGATTGACTTTATTTGGAACAGAGCTTGGGGAAGTTCAAACCAAAAGGTGCTATCAAAAACAATGGAAATTTTGGAAGTGAATAATTAAGAGGAGACTGATAGCTCCATAAGAGCAGCAAGTAAAACAGAGCAGAAAAAATATTCAAAGATATAGTGGCTAAAAACTCCCCAAATTTGATGAAAAACATTAAACTACACATCCAAGAAGCTCAATGAACTCCAAGTAGGATAAATGTGAAGATATCCACACCCAGATACATCACAGTCAAAATATTCAAAAACAAAGGCAAAAACTTCAAAGCAGCAAGAGAATAAGACTCATCACATACAAGCCAGTCCCAATAAAATTAGCAGCTGAATTCTCATCAAAAACAATGGAGGCTAGAAAGCAGTGGAACATCTTCAAAATGCTGAAAGTAAAAAAACTCAATCAAGAATTTGTATAGAGAACAGCTATTTTTCAAAAATGAAGGCAAAATAAAGGCATTTTGAGGTAAACAAAAGCTGAGCCGATTTGTTGCTAACAGACCTGCCTGGCAAGAAATACTAAAGCTTTTTCAAGCTGAAAACAAGTTACACCAGAAGATAATTTGAATCTGAAAAAAAAAAAAAACCAAAGAGTGCCAATAAAGGTAATTATGTAGGTAATTCTATAAGAGAGTTATAACTGCATAATTCTTCTTTCTTCTCTTAACTTATTCACAAAGCAAATTGTATGAATATATATATATAATTGTATTTATGGTCCTATAACAAATAAAAATGTAATATATTTGATGATAACAGCGCAAAGGAGACAGGTGAGAGCAAAGCTGTATTTGAGTAAGGAAATGGTAACATGAATTCATAGGAAGAAATAAAGAGAACCATATAAGAAGGTTAATATAACAAACTCTATAAATATATACTTGCTCTCTTTTCTTCTTTCAGATTATTTAAAAGACATACATTATATAAAGTAATAATAATAATAATAACTGTATTTTGGGGTTCTAAACAGATGTAATATGCATTACAATAATAGAACATAAAAGGGGAAGAGTGAATAGAATAGAGCTATATAAGAGTAACATTTCTATATCTCACTGGAATTAAGTTAATAATAAATCTGAAGTCAAAATTCTGGTAAGTTAAGCTGTTAACTGTAAGCACTAGAGCAATCACTAAGAAAATAGCTCAGAAATATAGTGAAATAATCATTAAAGGAATTAATGTTACATTAGAAAATATTCACTTAATGCAAAAGAAGCAGTAAAGGAAGCATAGAAATAAAAAAACATGACACATAGAAAACAAAAAGTAAATTTGAAGACATAAACCCAACCATATCAATAATAACATTAAATGTGATTGGATTAAACAATCTAATCAAAAGGCAGAGATTATCAGACTGGATTTTTAAAAAAAGAACAAGATGCTACTATATGCTGTCTACAAGAAACACACATTAGATTCAAAGATACAAATAAGTTGAAAGAAAAAGGATGAGAAAAGATCTACCATGTAAACATCAACCATAAAAGAGCTGAAGTAGCTATACTAATATAAGACAAAATAGACTTTGAAACACAAAATGTTGAGGCCCCGGATAAGTAAAGAATTACTGAAGAGGAAGAACAAAGTGGGAGGCGTCACACTACCTGATTTTAGAACCTATTATACCGCCACGGTACTGGTACAACAACAGATACATAGACCGATGGAACAGAATTGAGAATCCCGACATAAATTCCTCCACCTATGAGCAGCTGGTACTTGACAAAGGCCCAAAGTCCATTAATTGGGGAAAAGACAGTCTCTTTAACAAATGGTGCTGGCATAATGGGATATCCACCTGCAAAAAACTGAAACAAGACCCATACCTCATACCATGCACAAAAACTAACTCAAAATGGATCAAAGACCTAAATATCAAATCAAAAACGATTAAGATCATGGAACAAAAAATAGGGACAATGCTAGGAGCCCTAATACATGGGATAAACACAATACGAACCATAAGAATCAATGCACACACACCAGAAGAGAGACTAGATAACTGGGAGCTCCTAAAAATCAAACACTTATGCCCATCAAAAGACTTCACCAAAAGAGTCGAAAGACAACCTACAACCAGGAAAAAAATTTGGCTACAACAAATCCAATCAGCATCTATTCTCTAAAATCTACAAGATACTGCAAAACCTCAACAACAAAAAAACAAATAATCCAATTAAAAAATGGGCAAAGGATATATGAACAGGCACTTCGCCAAAGAAGATATTCAGGCTGCTAACAGACCACATGAAGAAATGCTCATAATCATTAGCCATTAGAGAAATGCAAATCAAAACTACATTGAGATACCATCTCACCCCAACAAGGCTG